AGGTGAGGATGAGGTGGTCTCCCTGAGATTGGGATCATCTTGGCCCAGGTGAGCATCGGGTGGTCTCCCCGAGGTCGGGTCCCTCTTGGCTCAGGAGAGGATGAGTGTGGTTTTTCTGCAGTTGGGAGCCCTTCAGAACGTGCACTCCCACCTCTTCTCATGGCGCTGCCTCTCTTCAGATCTCTGTTGAGGAGCTGGCGCGGAATCTGGTCATCAAGGTCAACAGGGACGCTGTCATGAAAATCGCGGTGGCCGGGGACTTGTTCCAACCAGAGCGAGGACTGTATCATCTGAACCTCACCGTGGGAGGCATTCCCTTCCATGAGAAGGACCTCGTGCAGCCTGTGAGTACCGTACCTGTGCCTGTGTGGACGCGCCGTGTGCTGGGATCCCGGGAATGGTGTCAGGAAGGCTCAGTCACGCCCGGCCCTGTGTTTACGATTAACCAGGTGTGGGGAGGACCTAGAGGAAGGAAAGGTTTCCTAGAATTTGACAAAGTCATGGTACAGCTGTGTCATTAATTTTACCATCTCTTTTTATGAGACCCGTCTAAGTTTTCATCTGAATTGATAATAATGTAGTCTATTTTTCAGTGGAGACAAGACACAATGAAATTATTCCCTAACAGAACAACAAACTTTTTGGACAATTTCCAAGAACATTTTGGGTTTTGTAACTCTGCCATGAGTCTCATAAGGGAAGAACAGCCATGGTGGGGCGGCCAGTGTGGGCCCTTTCTCCAGGTCCCGCCTTCTCTCCCCTTCAGCACAGCACACGCCTGTGCCCCCGACCTGTCTCCAGCCCCCACGCACTGACATCTAAGCCTTCATCCTGGGTGTTTTCACTTCCACACCAGACAGGAGAAGGGCACACATGTCTTCGCGTCTGTGGGTGCTGAGTGTCGGCAGTGCCTGTGCTGAAGCCAGCCCTTCAGTGTTATGAGGGGCACCTGCTTCCCAGGCCCACGGACTGCCTGGTTCTGGGATTTTGCCTGGCTTGTCCCTCCTTGTTTCACACATAAGGGGGTTGCCCTGATTTGCCCACAGTCATATTGAATATTGAATAATTCACGTGAGTGCTGGATGGTTAAACAATCCGTATTGTTTGACTTTGGACCCATGTGGCCTTTTCAGTCCTTTCCTAGCTTTAAAATTAACCTGTATTTCCTGAGCATACACCAGTGCAAACAGGTATTCTGCAGTGGGTCATTTTGTAAAGTGAGGAAACCGTCTGTGAAATCACCACCACCAGTGGGATTGGCCCATTTTTGCAGTAGGTCTGCACTTGCTGCGGCTGCGAAGGCACCACCCACTGCCTGGGGCGTCTGGCATGGGCCTCTCGCTCCCAGGAAGCCACGGAGATTTCTCTGCCTTTCCAGATAAACCCTCGTCTGGATGGCTGTATGAGGAGCTGGAACTGGCTGAACGGAGAAGACACCACCATCCAAGAAACGGTGAAAGCGAACACGAAAATGCAGTGCTTCTCGGTGACAGAGAGAGGCTCCTTCTACCCGGGGAGTGGCTTTGCCTTCTACAGCCTGGACTACAGTAAGTCTTGGCTCTTCCCGTTGGGGCGGCTGTGGCTGCACCTTCAGGCATACGCTGAGAGCAAGCAGACGGCCTTAGATGGCAGTGTCAGGACAAGCTGAGGCTCCTCCGGTTCCAGGGCAGGGCGGGGTGGGCAGAGGTGTGCGCAGAGGCCCCCCTCTCAGGATGGCTGTGCAGGTCACTCAGTTCAGAGTCAGCCAGTGAAGAAGAAATGACGGAGATGTGCCGAGAAGATGCTTGCCAGGCCGGTGCTGGGAGGCCGGGGAGGCTGGGAGGCCCTAGAGGGTCCTTTGCAGGAAGTCCTGAGACAGCACCAGCCTTAGGACTTGTCCAGAGGCACATGGAAGCTCTTAGTAATGTGGTGAACACTGCGGTCACCGATAACCCGGTGAGACATCTACAACAGGAGGTGTCTAAAAACAGCAATGAAGCTGCCTGGGGGACAGTGAACTCAGGCCTGAAAAAGGAGGACAGGGTAGGTGTGAGCTGCTGGCCCAGTCCTGCGGTGCCCTGGGGAAGGTGCTGCCGCCCTCCCCGGTGAAGGCCCTGGAGCTGCTGTGCGGATAGAGTTACTGCTCAGCCCGCCCTGCCTCACATTCCCACCCCACATGGGTCCCACTGGGGCACCGCAGCCCCACCCTGTTCCTGAACACCGAGCCGTTTATGGCGAAGCCCCCACATGCACAGAGGGCAGACAGCGCCCCCTCCATCAGATCTCAGGGCTGCCAGCCCTCAAGCACCCAGCAGGAACCCCAGGTTCAAGGGGGTCCACGCGGAGCAAAGGGGAGGGTCCTGCCCCGTCTCCTGAGCCAGATCCAGTGTCCGCGTCTCTCCCTGGGTGTCAAAAGCGTGACCATGTCAGGAAAGGCATCTGTGAGAAAGGCCCGTCTGCCACTGTGCACGCATTCTCCCTCAGTCTCGATTTTTCACTTACAAATCTAGACCATCATGATAATGTTTGACAGGAAGTCATGTCATATGAAATGCTTAAATCCTTTTTCCACTTAATATCATACACATTTCTCAGGGGTAACCTTACGCAGGCATCACAGGGGCCGTTTCCAGTGACTGCCGGCCGCGTCTGCCGGCCCGTTTTGGTCTATCCAGACTGAAGCAGTTAGAGCTCCATGCGTTCCCAGCGAATGCCAAACTACACCAGTAACGTCTCTTAAAGACAGAAGAGACTTGCTGGGAACGGTAGCACTGGCCTGGCTCACTCTGCAGTGACTCAGCCTGGGCTCAGGCTCACAGATCTCCAGGTCTGTGCAGCCTCCACGTGAGGGGCCACGTGGAGCCGGGAAACCTTCCCGGGGAGAGCAGAGGCCGGTGCCCTCGTGAAGCCCCTGATGGCCAGCACGTGCCCGGTTCCTGACGGGAGCTTCCTTTTTTTTTTTTTTTTGAGATGGAGTTTTGCTCTTGTTGCCCAGGCTGGAGTGCAATGGCACCATCTCGGCTGCACCTCCCAGATTCGCACCACAACCTCTGCCTCCTGGGTTCAAGCGATTCTCCTGCCTCAGCCTCCCGAGTAGCTGGGATTACAGGGATGTGCCACCACACCCAGCTAATTTTGCATTTTTGGTAGAGATGGGATTTCTCCATGGTTGGTCAGGCTGGTCTCGAACTCCCGACCTTAGGTGATCCACCGACCTCAGCCTCCCAAAGTGCTTGGATTACAGGCGTGAGCCACCACCACACCCAGCCAGGAGCTTCCATTTTAAAGGACACCATCATCTTTCCTTTCACAGGTGATGGGAAGACCAGCCAACAGGAGAATTTTTGTTTCTGTTGCTGTATTTTTGTTACTTTTTCTGATTTTGTGTTTCAATGCCATAAATGGTTGTTGAGAACTGACATGGCGGGTACCAGCTAGGGACAGGCAGGACAGGCGATGTGGGTTTGAGGTGCACACAGCCCCGTGGGAAAGAGACAGGGAAGCCAGCACAATTCACTATGACCCCACTCGGCCCGCAGTGTGAGGCCCCCAATCACAAATCCATACACACATTGATTTGGGGTCCTTTTTCCTAAAACAGCTTCTTTGTTAGGACTTTGGAATTCTGGGTGGGATAGAAACACTGAAAACAGGGTGGAGGTTTTATCTTCTGGCTTCTTAGTCCGCGGAGGGCTCAGCGTGGAGAGGACATGCGGTGGTATTCTCCCTGGGAGAACAGGAATTCAGCCCTTTCTAGTAACATACGTTTTGGGGCACTTTTGTATGAGCTACGGATGCCACATGATTTCATTCAGATGCATTACATATGACACACGTGGGTTCATGCGCACACGCAGCACGTGAGTGGAAAACCCCACTGAGGCAGGAGCAGAGCAAAGACTGACAGCGCAGACCCCAGACCGCCCGTGCTCCTGACAGCGCAGACCCCAGACCGCCCATGCTGCTGAGAGCTCAGACCCCAGACCGCTGTGCTCCTGACAGCGCAGACCCCAGACCGCGCAACCCAGACCGCTGTGCTCCTGACAGCGCAGACCCCAGACCGCCCATGCTCCTGACAGCGCAGACCCCAGACCGCGCGCACTCCTGACAGCGCAGACCCCAGACCGCCCGTGCTCCTGACAGCGCAGACCCCAGATCGCACGCACTCCTGACAGCTCAGACCCCAGACCGCGGGTGCTGCTGACAGCGCAGACCCCAGACCGCACGTGCTCCTGACAGTGCAGACCCCAGACCGCGCGCACTCCTGACAGCGCAGACCCCAGACCGCCCGTGCTCCTGACAGCGCAGACCCCAGACCGCGCGTGCTCCTGACAGCGCAGACCCCAGACTGCGCGTGCTCCTGACAGCGCAGACCCCAGACCGCGTGTGCTCCTGACAGCTCAGACCCCAGACCGCCCGTGCTCCTGACAGCTCAGATCCCAGACCGCTGTGCTCCTGACAGCTCAGAACCAGACC